CCCCCCCCCCCCCCCCCCCTCCCGCAAAAATCTCGCCTTTAAACTTACACTCACCATTTTCTTCGAAAATATATGTGAGTTCCACAAAACTAGAATATATAAAATATGTCGAATCATCGCCATATCATACTAATCAAGCAATTATTTGTTTTGACTTTTCTTCCTTGTCATGGACCAAATTTACCAACATATCATTAAGTGACGATCTGATAAATCAATGGATATTGGACAAGGTCACATGGAAATACACTGGACCAATCATTACCCTATATCCTGATGAATCAATGTCATCAATTGAAGTATATCCAAAAGTTAGATCGAAGACAAAGGTCGGCTTTGCTTATCATTTACTTTGTGGCAATGTTGCAACACTTGTCCAATGGCGAAACTAACTTTTATTCCCGTAGGCAACGATTCTGTGAAATTTATATTCAATTATTAGTCGTACGCTAAGGAAAAAGTTTTTTATGCAAAAATTTCATGCAGCCACAAAAGCTATTCATTTCTCTATCAAAATTCAGATCGTTTCAAAGTCACTGACTCAATAGACTATATAACGTGTGGCGTAAAAGTAGTTGTGAATTATACATTTTGTATCAGTCATATTTTTTCCAGAACGAATATTAGAAGAAGAAAACGTGGACAACTAAACATTTCTAAAGAAAAGTTAGGTGCGGGAGTACATCATTCTTAAAATATGGTCACGTAAAGACTCCAATAGAGCAAAATACTGGTGTTTAGTGTTTCAAAAAACATCTATATAAAGCAACAGTTCGGTATCTTTCAAAAACGACTTACACTCAACATTTTTAGAATAGAACTCTTCCCTTTGAGAAAAATATAATAAAATGACCAAGATCTGAGCACTGCGTTTGAGCAGCTTCGGTCATTACTTCAATAGTCACTCTTATGCGACAGGAAATAAATAAATCGTTGACATTTTTTTTTCAGCATAAGATTTTATGTTATTCCATATACTTTTAATTCTTCAAGATGATTCGGTGTTCTGTTCGACTTAGCATGCATCGTTTCCACCTGAAATTTCAATTCCCTCACATACTCTTACTTAACTGAAAAACTAATTAATATTAAAAAATTTTTTATTTTATCAATCTAGGGTGTACAAAACGAAGTTACAACAGGAAAGTAGATATAAAAATCTTTCGAATGTACTAGTTGTTCACGAATCAATAGCCGTTTTACATTAGTACAGTTGAGCCGCGTTGCATCTCTTGTAAAGTTTTCTGTTACAAATGTTAATCGTTTATAATTGACTTTTAGTTGAGTTAGACGAGGTAGATGTGTTCTTGTATTATTAAGAAATTGCTCGTAATAATCAGTATGAGATAGACCGAGATGAAGCGAAATAAGATGAGGATATTCAACAATTGAAGACAATTGATTATCGGTAGAGGCAATATTGTCTGATATTTGTGACTCTGATTTTATATTCAAAACATTCAATCTTTTAAGTGATGGAAAAAACTTGGCTACTCGAAGAAAAAATTCATGCTTGAATGGAACATCATCGTGAACCTGTAAAGATGTAACATAACTGAAAACGATGAATGGAAATGTATTACCAATAGAATGGAGAGTATCAAACACAGGTGGTAATGAAAAAATATGACATTCTGCACTTCTATAGCAATAGTTTATAACACAGGCCACTTGTTCATATCCTATGTTACTGAACGTTTTTTGAATATCGTCGCTCGATAAACCATGAACTAAATGTTGAAGTTTAGTTTCGGTACTGATATGAAAAGTAAATTTATAAAGCTGTGGCATACGAACAAAAACTTCATTTTTAAGATGAGTACCATCAATAAATCTAGTTCGATCCTCAATTATAATATTCAAAGTTAATTCTTCAAGATTGAACATACGACGAAGAAGAGGTACAATTTTAACATCATATTGTTTTCCTGAGCAATCACATATCAATGAAAAACATTTCAAATTAGGTAGATCATCCTAGAAAAATAGAAATCAACGTTTTGATAAATATATTTTGTTATCGATTATAAAATGAGAAAAAGTTTAGATGAATGGCTGATCGAAAAATTAAATGTCTATTTGATTCATTTCTGAATATTTATTCAGCTCAAATGATACACACACATATATATACGGTTCTGAAAGGACGAGTGAGACAATTTAATGGGATTTTCTTAGCTTAAAAAATAATTAATATAATAGACAAACATTTGGAAAAACACGTTTAATCACTCTATCAGGAACCGCGATTGTAAGTCGTTAATGCTTATTTACGAAACGTAAGAAACGCGTCTTTTACACAGAATTCTCACTTTCCGAGCATGAAAACGAATAAAAACTCTAATTCTGACCGTCTAGACGAATTAGATTTTAAGTTATCGAATAATTGTGCGTTTAAACGGTCAGAATTGGAGTTCTTATTCGTTTTCATGCTCGGAAAGTGAGAATTTTGTGTAAAAAACGCGTTTATTACGTTTCGTTAATGAGCATTAATGACTCACAATCGCGGTTCCCGATAGTGTTTAAACGTGTTTTTCCAAATGTTTGTCTGCTTGGGTATATATTAACTTACCATATTGTAAACAGTTGATACCTTATCATTCATATTGGAAATTTCAAGGATAAACGTAGTCAGCTCCTTGAGACGACCATCAAGTAAAGCAAGACAATCCTCAAAGCTTTTTACACCGACACATAATTTCTTAAGATTTAAAGAAGAACAGGTTGTTAAAGGTAGATTGCGAAATGATAAAAATAAACATGATCCATTAATCGACAGATGTTGTAGATTTTTGAAGAAATTAAAAATATTTTTGTGTAATTCTTTCGTGTATTGTTCCATTGAAAACATTTGACGACTTTCTTTGTAAACAAGAATAAGATCTATGATTTGTTGTGGAAAAATACGATGAAATGGTGATTTGACTAAATAAAAAAGGAGCGAGTTGACATTGTGCAGTTCACTGTCTTTAATCAAAGAGTGTACCAAGCAAAACAGTGTATGATACTCTAATGAAATAGAAGTAACACTTCTTTTACACGTTAACGAACAAATTAGTTTACGCTGTACCAGTGACGAATCCAAAACGAGGACTGCGGGGTTCGCCTCCCCCCGCCGATAAAAAAATTGTTGATATTAATTTTTCTATGAACATCAGAGAAAGATTATTTGAATATATTTATCTTTCAACTAACATTTTTGTACATCAATTAGTGTACACTTTTGTTCGTACTGACTTCTTGTACGTCCACTGCAATCAAAAAGAAATCTCGTTAAATAAGATTTAAAAAAATTTGAGCCCCCCAACAAAAAAAACTGGTTGCGTTACTGCGCTGTACATAATGAGTTTCCTTTTTAAGATGTGTGAGTAGGGATCATGACCCTCCTCCCTCGTAAAACGGTTTCTTCAACGAGAATTGGCATGCCTTTATGGGTGTAGATTGCCCATTACCCACACCCAAAAGCTTGATCCGAGAAATATCACGTTACGTGAACAAGCCGTAACATATATTTTCGCTGCTGTTAAAATGGATTTGTTTTGAAAACTTCTTACTTTTCTAAAATTCTCCTGTGTACATCCATTTGAAAAATTAAATACTATTAGTAAATTTTTAACAAGTTTTCTTGTATCGTTTGAAATCAACTTTTTTATTTCTTTTGCATTTTGTACACTTTAATCTCTTAAAAAAAGTGAAGTGTAAGAATTTTCGATGCTCGGGGAAACATAGCGCACTGATGCATTTTGTTCCAGATTCTCACAAAAAGACACTAGTGTTATATATACAACGTTCCTATGTAAATCTATGTTCAGATCAGCACAAGAGTTTTTTTACCTTTAAAATAATGTGAGAAGATTTTGTCAGTGAAATTGAAAAGTTTAATTTCAGTTAGATTAGGATAATCAACAGCAAGAAGAATACGTTCCATAGTTCCTGATTCAAGAATAAGAGATTTAATGTTGAGATTAATTTTGGGCAATATATTTTTACAAAATCGATCAATGATGTTATCAGCAATCGGGAAAATGTCATCAGTTGATGTTGTTAATACAAAATTGAGATTCTCGGTGAGCATTTTTTCTTGTACTACCATATCAAGTCGTTGATTATCTACGTTCAATAAAGAATAGAGAACATCCATATTGCCAAGTTCTTTTAAAATGATAAATAATATTTCATTAGGTAGATCAAGAAAGTTAACATTAGACCAACTCATATTAATTTTGATAAATTTTTTGCTTAAAATGCAGAAAACTAAATAAGTATATTTTTTTGTTATTTTTATCCATTGACGTCAGCGAATAACATGAATAGACGAGTTCGTCGGAAAAAATATTCGGTCAACGAATAATCCAATGAATTTCATCGACGGGTATTTATTCTTTCTTCGCAATCGCAATATCTAACACGACGTGCAGTTGAAGTGCACTTTCAACCCCATGCACATTTTGATTAATGTTCTAAATACAATCATTGTGCGTGATGGTTCAGCTAAACTCCAAATAAACTCTGTTTTTCACCGACTATCATTGAACAACGAAATATATCTAATAAATGAACGAATAATTGGAACTTTTAGTCCAACCTCATTTTCTATAAATGAAACATCCTATTCTAATATTCGTTTGCATTAATAATAAATTTTCTATGAAGTGATAATTGTATTTTCGTGTATCTATTCATATCTGTGCGGTCAATGGAGCATTTTTTTACCTGTTACCTTTTTTGTAACAGTTGTTTTGCAGGTCTTCATAGTG